ATAAACAAAAAAAACCCAATATTTTCTTAGTTAGGTGGAGGATGTCCAAAATCATTTTTTATTTGCTTCAGTATATAGTCTTGTTTAAATAACAAAGGAAATTCCAGGGGGGGGGGGGGGTCCAATCTCCCTACCCACTCCCTATCCCTGAAATAACAATCTATTTTGTGATTCCAGTTAAATAGTATATTTTTTTCCATTTGACTAATTATGTACATATTTTGTTTCTTGTGTTTATATTATGTCTGTATATTTGTCTGCAGAAATTATAACCTTGCCCTTAAGTTTTAAGTGGGATGGGCTATACAATTGGCTTCCACATTTTATAGGTTTATTTCTTGTGATAATTAAGACCTTTTATTTGGGTACCATTAATTTTTACCTCTGATCACTTGACCTAGAATACACATTTTTACAAGAAAAATACCCAACTTTAAACTTGGCCTAAATTTTGATCAGTAGGTGCTAGGGCTTTCATGCTTAACATGTGTATTCATTGTGAACTGTCAACAGGTATAAATATGTTTGACCTTGACCGTAGAGTTTGAACCACTTAAAAAATTAACCTTGGCAATTAACTTTTGAAGAGGAAGTACTAGGGATTACTTATTTCACATGTGCATTCCTTGTGACAAGACTTTTTTCTGATACCAACAATTGAACCTTTTGACCTTGACCTTTGAGTTTGACATATATTTGAGAAACTTCAACTTTCGCCATAGGCTACCAGACAGGGACATCAGTGTTTCACAAACACATCTTGTCTTCATTATTATTTGGTGGTGTCTCCATATGACGGAAAAATTCCAATGAGATATGCATTCACAACAAACAAACAAATTACTAAAGAAAATATAAAACATGAATATGTTGGTCATGCATATCTCTGCATGAAAAAAAACCCAGCTTTTCAAGTACTGCAACCATATTGTAACCCTTTCAAAACACTCATTTGAGCTTTTCTGGTTTCCTTGTCATATAACGTCTGTTGTGACATGTTGTCCATCTGTTTGTCTGAAAACTTTTTACATTTTTAACTTTTCTAGAACCACTGGTCCAATTTTACCCATGCAATTCATATAGAAATATGTACATTTGTATGTCAGACTGTTCTTCTGTCTGAATAAAATTAACCTTGGTTATCATGGTCATATCTACTGAATGAGAAGAGACAAGGCATTCATATTAAACTTATGTACTAGTATTTACCTGTGAGAATGGCATGATTTTTTTTTTTTTTTACATATGACCTAGAAGTTTGACCTACTTGCAAAAAAATTAGATTGTTATAAATTTATCATTTTGAAAGAGAAAAGTTAGGGCATTCATATTATAATGCATGTATATTATTACCTGTGATAAGATCTTTCCAAATGAATCATGACTTTTACTCTGTGACCTTGACCTTGAAGCCTAACCTACTTTTCAAAAATGTTGCATTTGCTTATAACTTTTGATTGAGATGAGATATGACTCTCACATTTGACATTTGTACATTAATTACTCATAAAAATTCAAGATGTTTCCCAGCTTGCAATGTTTTTTTACTCTTTAACGTTAATGTTTTACATAATTTTCAAGATATTTAACTCTCCTAAAAGATGATTAGGCTTCTGAGTAACATTAAGGAGGACTTCAGGAAAGACAGGACTTTTTGCACAAAAAATGTAATTTTCCACCCCCATTTGACCTCCCAGGGCAATATCAAAATTCCAAAACCTTGCTGCACATCTACATGACACTACCAACCATCTCCCTAAAGATGATTAGGCTACTGTGTAAAATGTAAGAGAATTTCAGGGAAGACGGGGCTTTTTGCATAAAAACGTCATTTTTTTACCCCTATTTGACCCCCCGGGGCAAAATCAAAATTCCGAAACCTTACTGCACATCTACATGAAACCACCAACCATCTCCCAAAAGATGATTAGCCTACTGTGTAAAATGTAAGAGGAGTTCAGGGAAGACGGGGCTTTTTGCATAAAAAACGTCATTTTTCGACCCCCATTTGACCCCCCGGGGCAATATCAAAATTCCGAAACCTTACTGCACATCTACATGACACCACCAACCATCTCCCAAAAGATGATTAGCCTACTGTGTAAAATGTAAGAGGAGTTCAGGGAAGATGGGGCTTTTTGCATAAAAAACGTCATTTTTCGACCCCCATTTGACCCCCCGGGGCAATATCAAAATTCCAAAACCTTACTGCACATCTACATGACACCACCAACCATCTCCCAAAAGATGATTAGCCTACTGTGTAAAATGTAAGAGGAGTTCAGGGAAGACGGGGCTTTTTGCATAAAAAACGTCATTTTTCGACCCCCATTTGACCCCCCGGGGCAATATCAAAATTCCGAAACCTTACTGCACATCTACATGACACTACCAACCATCTCCAAAAAGATGATTAGCCTACTGTGTAAAATGTAAGAGGAGTTCAGGGAAGACGGGGCTTTTTGCATAAAAAACGTCATTTTTCGATATTTGACCCCCCGGGGCAAAATCAAAATTCCAAAACCTTACTGCACATCGACATGACACCACCAACCATCTCCCAAAAGATGATTAGCCTACTGTGTAAAATGTAAGAGGAGTTCAGGGAAGACGAGGCTTTTTGCATAAAAAACGTCATTTTTCGACCCCCATTTGACCCCCCAAGGCAAAATCAAAATTCCGAAACCTTACTGCACATCTACATGACACCACCAACCATCTCCCAAAAGCTGATTAGCTTACTGTGTAAAATGTAAGAGGAGTTTAGGGAAGAAAAGTGTGACAGACGGACGGACGGACGGACGGACGGACGGACATGAGTAACAACAATATACCCGAACTTTCTTTCGAAAGTGCGGGTATAATGACTCGATTATGAAGGAAGTACAGTGCATAAAAGTCAGCTAAGGGAATATAAATGTACTTTAATCATTCATATGCATCAAACTAGGTGATAAAAACAATTGTACTAGATTCTCTTTGCTTCAATTCAAATAATAATAATAATAAATTTATGTCTACAAATGTAAAACATTCAGTACATCGAAAAAGTCTCCAAAAGGTTGATCAAACAGGGTTGCATAAAATATCTTTCGTTTAATCTTCCAACGCATTACGTTATTTCCATATGCACTTTTAAAACTTTCCTCGGATACTTATAATTTCTATAGGCCTAAGTGGTTATTTTTTTCTTCAATATGTGGGTTTGTGTGTATGTATGTGTGTGTTAGTGAAAAAAGGGAGTATAAAAAAGCTTACAACATAATACTTTTTTAATCAGAAGGCTTAATTGTTTAAATAAGCTTGATATTTGTGAAAATAATCTTTTGCTGATTTTTTAAGGATTAAATAGCCTTCTCGACTTTTCGCTTGGAACAGCTCTAGCAAGAAGCATGTAGTGGCGAATTCGACATCCGATCTTGAATTTATCTTGAAAGTTTTTATAGCAAGGGCATTTGCATTGAGACACATTGGTGCGCGTTGGATTTGGGTCATCAAACTAATTACCAGTCTCTTTGTAAGAAAAGAATTCTATGGTATCAGTCTGTGCAAGTGCTTTAAATACCATACATTTTCAGGTATGTGGTCCTTAAAGCAGATGCATGACGACAAATTAACAAAAGCGGAAACTTAGAATTACATGAAAAAACTTTTGTCTTCGATAATTTAAAAAAACGTCCTTGTAAGTCCATTGACAATTTACATGTCATTAACCTACTTGGGTTTATCAGCGTTTCTTCTTTTGACCCTTGTATCAATAGACATTTTTTTAACCCCGTGACGAACAATTATAAGTACATGTATATTCCTTCTTTTTTTAAATCGAAACATGTATTTGTGGTACATGTAAAAGGATTTGGGATTTTTTTTTTCTCGAGCATTAAATTGATAAACTTGAAAATCAATCCGTAAAGTAATCAGATAACTACATATAAGGCAAATACAGAAACATACACAATTTTACTATCAGAGTATTGACATTATTTCTATAATTGTATAGAGTGTAATTGGTCAGACATAGATAACAATTAACGGAGTGTAAAATAACATGATCAAGGATTGGCTATTGCAGAATTCTTTTATATATTTAGGTTCTTTTCATCGTTTGCATTTAAATGATGGCTGATTGAATTAAAAATTAATGAAAATAAGATTTTAGGAAACAAAAGTTCAAGAAAAATTGAAAATCTTAACTCAATACCTTGAATATTGACCAAATAATCATAAAATAAAACGGACATTATGTGATCACCCTGCGCTGTCGCCAATCAGTTTCATGACATCATTATTTCTCAACGTTCGCATTCTCTACCTCATTCGCTTATCTTGATGAGATTCCTTGGAGTTAAGTCAAGATTCAAACTCGCTGGAAATTATAGAGTGTTTTCTTAATTTCCTAATTGCATAATTCATTGTTAAATTTAAAACAACTAATTATGAAAATAAGAAACAGTTAAAAATCACCATGATACATGCAGTAACAATGTATTCTTCAAACTACAACTTTGGATAGTTTTGACAACTGATTCTTCTACTATTTGAACAAAATTTAAGCTTGTATGTTCATGTTAAGATAAATTTTACAGGAGACAAGGGGTTAACATCAAACAAAATAATATTAATTAAAACTGCTACTCATCTCATCGAAATGGATGTGCTTTCGCTTTCATTTTTACAAATCATGATTTATTCATAAAAAAAATATTTTTAAAAACCTATGCCCTTGTTTAAAACTATAGCAAAAAAGCAGCAAACAATATTAAGTCAAGATTAAAATAATCTCTTCACTTGACTACAGGAGAATACTGAAATGTGTATAACAAAATAAATGTCAAAATGCGTTTAACATAAAAAAAGTATTGATTTCAGTCAAGTAAAAAAGTTAGGAATATTACACCATATAAAAAGCAATAAAAATTAATGAAAATCTCTCTCTCTCTCTCTCTCTCTCTCTCTCTCTCTCTCTCTCTCTCTCTCTCTCTCTCTCTCTCTCTCTCTCTCTCTCTCTCTCGCTCGCGCGCGGGCGCGCACTTCAATAATGGGTTACTTATAAATACAAAGCTTTCAGTGCTTTCTTTCAAATTCTTGAAAATGTAAATTTTTGTAGAATCAAGGGGCACAACAAAACCGTTAAGAAATTTCCATCTGCATTCTCAAATACTTGATAGTTATAATGGATGAAAGATTTTTTTCTAAATGCGATGGCTATTACATGTATAATTACATGTTTCTTATCAATATCATTCATTTAATCAATGCAAGACTGGAAAATAGTTATCTTAGCTGCAGGAAAACTGCGCTTGCAAATAAAAAGTCGTCCGTGATTGTCGAGATGAAAATACGCCTCAAAGTGGTGGATATTTGTATCAAAAATGGATATGGCATAGCCCTTCCTTGTAAATCAACTTAGCTTTCCCTTAAAACCCTTGAACTCTTATATCAATCTACCCTAATGCCATAGTTAATACGGTATTGAAAATTCAAGATAGTTCGTAGAAACTATTCCTTCACTGGGGTTCTTCTTCTGTAAAGTTCATTGCCTTCTCTAACGCCTGAAAAAAATTTTTGTATGTAAAAATAGAAATTCAGTTATTAAGGTCACAAAAATGATGTGCAGTTTCATACCAAGCAAAAACAACTTCTCCCCATATAAAATATATTTCTTTAACTTTCTATCATATAAAATATATTTTTATAGCCTATACATTTTTAATTTCATTTAACTCTATAATGCACGTAGGAAAGAATAGGAACATGATGAAATTTCGTAATTTAAATTCGTCAATATCAAATTTTGAAAAAAATTCATTGGTTGATTCTTCTTCTTTCATACTATAACAAGTATGTTTACATAAAGGTAATTATCGCAGTTTCATTTTTTTAAGGAATAAACTTTCTCACAAAATAAAAAAAAAAGAAATTAAAAGAAAAAAACATAAATAGATACAAGAAAAAATATACCTGAAAAATTTTCTTTTTAAACCAAGAATAATGGGTTTTTTTAATCTCATAAAAAAACTTTTTTTTCCTTTTTGGAGAGGTTCAACAATAATGTTTATTTAAAAAAAAATGAAACTTCAGGTAAGGTGAACGACCTATAATTGACGTAGGATAAAGTTGGTCTTGTTATTTATAGCCCCCCAAAATTTACCAACCCATTATACATGTAGAATTTACATAATTCTCCATATCAATCTCATTACACACATGAAATGTCAAATAAAATTTTGTCTAGGCTGCCTGAAAACTGGTGATAAGAAGGTCATATGATAATCATTCCTAAAAAGGTTTGCTTTAATTGATCATTTGTTCTTTTAAGAATGACAATTAAATAAAACTGATTTAAAAAAAAAAAAGGAGGTTAACCATATGTTACACTTTAAATTTCAAAACAAACTAAGCAAACGTGTTTTACTTAGAATTCTCATTTCAATTGAGATGGGGTTTTTTCAGATAGTTTAACACAATTTAAATCTCCTTACCTTACATTAATACAAATTTAAACACACGGATCTTGAGTTTTAAAGATTCTGTTTAACATCACGCTAATACACAAACAGACAGAAAGACGACCAGAGAGAGAGAGAGAGAGAGAGAGAGAGAGAGAGAGAGAGAGAGAGAGAGAGAGAGAGAGAGAGAGAGAGACTGCATAATATTTTACGTCGAGTCAGCAATTTTTCGTCCATTTTTTCGACGGTAGAGGAGAGAAACCATGAAGAGAGATCAAAAAACTCACCTGCATGCGTTGATTCAAGTGTTCGTACATTAAATCCATATCAGAGAAATATTTCTGTAATTTCAAAAGTCTGGAATTTCTGTTTTTCATCTCCTTGATATATTTTATCCACAAGTCAAGTATAACCGATGTTTTCCTTTTCACTTTCCTGAAAAATCATATCTCAAATTTATTGACATATATTCCCAAAATAAAATTCAGAAAGTAATACAAAAGGGAATAAGTCAGATTTACTATTTGCATCGGAAAGACTGATATAATTCACCAAACTAATCAATTAAGGTTGCTTTATTTCAAATTTTTTAAAAAGATGAAATGACATTTTTTCACAATGTAAATTGTGAGACGTCCTGTGAAATCATTTAAGTCCGTGGGTCTAATTTTCGTGGCTTGCTTTCATTCATTTTGGGGTGTAGTTTCGTGTGTTCTCTTATGAAACATACGGAGAAAACGAACTGTATTCGAGCTTAAAAATCCATAAAGCAATACAAAACATTTCTAGGAGCAGAGCACCCCCCCCCCAAAAAAAAAATCAGAGGTGGGATCAGGTGCCATGGAGAAGTGAGCATCCCCTGCCGAGGGTTCTCTTGTGCTACGTAGGTTAAGAATTTCATCCAACTTGCTGTATTTTTATTGTCATGAAATGATTTGCATGGCAAGGAGAGAGATTCGAAGACAATTCAATATGTGAAAATGAAAATAATGGCATAGCAGTTCTTTTCAAACTTTTAGGTCTATCTACATGTATATGTATATATCTAAAGGAGAAGAACCTCGGGTTAGGGATCACTTTAGGTAGTGGTTATGATAATATCAACAATTTCAGATCGTTTGAGAAAATGTCTATCTTTCATATTATAATAATAACATAACATTATGCATGAAGAATCTTTGCATAAAATAAATAATACCATAGAGGTTGCCAAATAAGAAACAGAAATACTAAAAACCTTATAATCAAATCTGATGTGATTGAATGTAATTAATAATTTAATCAATATTACAGCAATTAAAATCAGGTACCGCATTTTCTAGCTGAAATTCTCGTCAATTATATTGAGGATAAAAAGTTCTGAGCTTTTAAATCATACACCTTCGGCATACCTGGCATTATTTTTTCTTAAGTATTATTGTTGGTTTTCAAATTTATAACCTTCAAGATACTTTTTCAATCTTCTCTTAAATTCTTTAAATGCATAAATCAACCAATTATTGTGCAATTTTTCAACTTACACACTTTCAATGCTTGATGAACACTGGGGTGTCTCCACATGAGATTTTTTGAAATTATGACTTCTTAGGTTATCTGCGACAGAAAATAATACACAAAATATGCTACCAAAATTGCACAAGAAGTTAAGCTTAAGTTGCATATATTTTGACGTTTCAACTACATCTATATTATTATTATTATTCGATAAAACGTCTTTTAATAAATAGATGCATTCACAAGCACCTGTACGTTTCATACCTTTTTGTAATCCTTTTCTGTTCTTTCTTGCATCAATAACAACTTTTGAATCATTACAGTTCTTTTTCTTCATTGCAAATATACTTCTGTTTTTTTCCCTAAATAAAATCTTCTGAATGAAAGTTAAATATAAATGATACACATGCCCTATGCCTTAATATATATATATATATATATATAAATATTACATAAACGACCCTATGCCACGTGACGTGGGCGTCTTTGCACTGCTAATTGAAATGCTAATTATCTGCATATATTAGATGTTTCCTAAAGGTTTAAATTCTTTTTGGGAATCATTGAAAGTGTGTCTTTCGATTGTTTGATTCTTCCTTTTTTTTTTTTGCGCGTGTTTTGCATAAAAAAAAGATAGTTGCTACTAGCACTCTCTATCTCTTCCTCAAATTAAAAAGAACAATCTTTTGATGTATAGAAGTACATGCAATAAACATGGATCAGTTGATACAGAGCAGTTTTGACCTTGGTAACTGAGTCATTTGTACTCGTGACAATTACATGTATGAGAATTCGGCTGTCGGGAATAAATTCCAAGAAGGCGCCAAAATAATGAAAGTGTTGTTATAAAAAGTACATTTTGTATAAATAAAAACACCTAGTTTGATTTCAATAATGATTTTGGAACGCTTTTAAAAGTGTCAAATTGGATGAAATCCTTCACAATTTCACGCTGTTACTACCAATTTAGCTCTGTAACCTGGAAAAAGTGCAATCCACAATCTGATGAAACCCAAAATAAACCTTTCATTATTCGTTTATTGAGTCAACCAAGCAAAGCAAATGCCAACAGAAAAAAATCAAAATTATATGTTAAATACCTTATACATGTATTTAACTTAAAGAGGTGGAAAAGAAATTATATAAAATATATTTTCAAAAAAATAAATGATTATTGACGTATTAAGAAATCCGTTCAGTTCTAAATAACTGAGTGTTAAGTAAATAGATCGTACATGTAAAAGCAACTACTGTAATTGAAATTACAGTTTATCTATAAAATGCACTTCTTATCCTCCCGCTACCTGAAAATTATGATTTGCAAAAAGTGAAGAAAAAATGTTCCGATAAAGTCTTTATTGAAGTTTTGGTAAGAGATAACATTGTTTCATAGTTTATGTATGTACGGTATGTACTCAACTCAGTATCTGTTAGAATTTTTCTCGTCCAAATAATAAACAAAACTCTCAAAACAATAACTTTTTTATCTCGTTCAAGTCGGGCCAGCTCTACTCCCATAATACAATTCAATTTAATTTTTCATTCCAAAAAACCCCAAAACAATTTCATTAACTATATATTAAAATGCAATGTGTGGAATTAACGAACAGTTTTTGCTAGAAAGTCCTTTTAACATTTCAAAAAAGGAGCGGCGCCAACACAGACCTCCAAAATATCAGAGGTGGGATCAGCTGCCATGTAGAAGTGAGCATCCCCTACCCACCGATCATATAGAATAATTGATGTGAGAAAAATATAAAAATTTGGGTCAAATAACCAGACTCATGGATATATTTCTATAAAATAATAAAATGCATGCTTAAATGTAAAGAAAAGGATATACTTTTTAGGTCTAACTAACAGCATCAAACTCGTACATCACTATTATTCATGGCCGATAAATGATAAATAAAAAAAAGACAGGAAGAAGATTTTAAGGTTTGCTAAACATTAAAAAAGGCATAAAAATTGGTTCTTTAAAATTGTTATCATAACAAATTGTTATTAGTTCATCTTTCTTACTTTCGAAACCAAATAGACAAATGGATTTATAGGTCCCACGTTGCTTCATTGCATGTGTGATTCTAACAATATAAAGTGAAAATTAAAAACCACAGTATAATATGAAGAAATGCTTTAAGAAAAAGATCTGGAATATGTGTCAAGGTAGCAATAAAATGCATTCAACAATGTGCATACAAAAATAATTTATTGATTTATTGGATTTAAGGTACAGAAAAATATTCTTTAAAGGCATTTTTATTGTTTATTTTGTCAAATATGCATTTGTACAATGTCAAGGTTAATGAGCTATGCTTTTTCTGTAATCGGTCGTATTAGACAATAAGAACCGGGGCCCCGTGTCTATCACAGCAGGCAATGATACGATGAAACACATGGAGTTAACGAAGTATTCAAGATCAAAAGTCCATAAAACAACACAAAACAAGAGCAGAGCAAACACGGACCTCCTAAACATCAGAGGTGTGATCAAGTGACATGGAGGAGTTGGCATACTCTGCCTAGCGGTCACATCCGCCGTGTGCTCCTTGTCATGATCGGGAAATAACGGAGAATCCGTCGTCATTTCAGTGTATAAATAATGGACTAACAATAAGTATGAAAAACGTCAGTCAGCATTTGACTCAATGCTGAATTGAGCTTGCTGGCAAGGTCATTATATCCACCATAGAACTTACAAAATGATTAAATTAAACGCTACTGCTGCGCTATTCTTGTCGCATCAACTTGCTTCAATAATTTACCTCGTTTTAGAAATTTTTCATACGCAGAGCATGCTCTTGCGTATCGAATCAACAGTGATATACATGTATAAACTCCGCATGCAGGTGATGAAGGTATATTGCTACATAAGTATGGGAAGTTGAATATTGAGAAGTTAAAGCATTCCCGTTTATCACAGAGATTTGTTGTTAGATTACCATTAACGACCTTTTCAAGTAAAATACTGTAAGTCGTTTTAATTCCACGGTGTTAAAATTTCACGATATCTCAAAAAGTACCAATTGCGATGGTTTTAATTTCACGCTGCAAGAAATTAATTCAAATTTTGTAAGAGCATTTAATTTAGTTTTAAAGAACTAGTAATAGAATTCACGATGGGTTTAATTTTGCGGAAAAATGATTAATCCGAAATTTAAACCATCGTGATTATTTGCCAATCTACAGATTAATGGCGCTGTGTGCCGAGTCTAAACCTTAATCCCTGTACCGGTATATGGTGACGTCTCTTTATGAGTTATAATTCTCGATAAGGATCTGAAACAACATACAAACTATCAATCAATTAAAAACTGGTTATTGTGACTGTTTTAGGGTTCATATTAAGACACTAACTTCTTACAAAATTATTTATTTACTATTTTATTTTCTCGTAAAATGTTGATCTGTTTTATTTGATTTTCTTATTTTGTTGTTGTTGAAAAACTGTTTATTCAAAAAAATAAATAAATAATAAAATTTATTTTGGTAACCTTAGTCTACATAATTGCACATTTCATACAAGGAATATAAATTTGAATCGTTTTACTGCAAAAAAAAAATGAGGATTCAATTTCAATTTTAATTAGGAAAATAAGGAAAAAAACTCCAATAATACATACATGTATTTAATTGATGGAAATATTATACAAAAACTGTAGGAGGTTCATTTACTTTAAAGCATTTGCTGAATAATACAAATTACTCGTAAATCAATTTTATATGAACGAAATTGCATTTTAATTTACAGCCTATAGTTTTATAACTGTTACAGAAGGAAACACATACTAATAGTACAATGAATGTCTGTAAAAGACTGGTTCACTAATTTAAACAAGATTTAAACATCGCTCACCTGAGAAGCTTTGAACATGCTATTCTTAACCAAATAACCTATTGTGACCCCATTGTATCTCACGGGTCATAATTTGGACAATTCAAAATCTACACTACACCAGGATGTTTCCACATAAGTTTCAGCTTTTCTGGCCAAGTACTTCTTGAGAAAAAAAGATTTTTAAAGTTTTTTCCCTATATTTTTCTATTTAAAACTTTAATTCCCTATTGTGGCCCAGTCCTACCCCCGGGGGTCATTATTTGAACAATTAAAAATCTACACTACCCCAGGATGCTTCCACCTAAGTTTCAACTTTTTCTGACCACGTGGCTCTTAAAAAGAAAATTTTTAAAGATTTTTCCTACATATTTCTAAGTAAAACTTGTGTTCCCTATTGTGGCCCCGCCCATCCCCGGGGGTCATTATTTGAACAATCAAGAATATACGTACACTACCCCAGGATACTTCCACATAAGTTTCAGCTTTTCTGGGCAAGTAGTTCTTGAGAAGAATTTTAAAGTTTTTTTCTTATGTATTTTTTATGTGAATTTTTGATTCCCTATTGTGACCGCAAAACCCCCGGGGTCATAATTTGAACAATTTAGAATCTACATTACCCCTGGATGCTTCCACATCAGTTTCAGTTTTTCTGACTACGTAGCTCTTGAGAAATTTTTTTAATGGCGTTGACCCCACCCAATTTTTGTCCTTTCTTGATTATCTCCCCTTGTGAGAGGAACTGATCCTTCATTTTAACAATTTAAATTTCCCTTCACCCAAGAATGCTTTGTACCAAGTTTGGTCAAAATTGGCCCAATGGTTCTTGAGAAGAAGTCGAAAATGTGAAAAGTTTACAGATGGACAGAAGAACGGACGGACGTACGACGGACAAAATGTGATCAATAGCTCACTTGAGCCTTCGGTTCAGATGAGCTAATGGAATGTTAGACGATTTCCTGGAAACTTCTAATTACTTTTTTCCAAACCTGTGCAAATGGTTCTGTAGGGATAATGGATCATAATTTTAAAAAACTGTATACTTCAGGGAAGAATCTACAGAAAGTAAATCAAGGTGGATATTTTTAGCTCATATATGTCCAGTTTAAATAGGATAGCACACCATTTATCTCCTGCCATCACCATGAAAAAAGGAAAAAATTCTTTACATTGGACATCAAAATATGCGGAATAGACACCTGTGGCTTATATTGACAAAAAACATTATCTTTTCCTCGCCTAGCGTTTGTCTCTTCATGTTAGAAGTTTTTTGTTGTTATTTTTAAGCATTACTGTAGGTTTTATTACGCTAGAGGATCTAAACTATTCAAGAACCCTAACTGGCAAGTAATGATATAAATCTGACACTCTTCATCGGTGTTTTGTGATGTCTCAAATATGTGGAAACAGGTATTTTACATCGGCACCAGTTCATTCGATAAATTCACATAAAATGTGTTATGAACAATAACAATGATAAATTAGATAAACCAGGAAAAACCAGGAATAAAATTATAA